ATATTAGTAGATGAACAATTGAACTGATAGTCTTGAAGGACTCTTTGTGCATTATCACCAACATAGGTTTCGGGTTGATCTATTCCTATTCTTTCTGCTCTGTACTTTAGTAATGAAAGCTCCATAAACCTTTCTGTGCATTCATCTGAACTATAGCTAACTGAATAAAAGAATTTATTTTGATTAACATAGTATTGGCAAAAGTATCAACAACAGCTTACCTTTTAACAAAAAGAAAAGAAGCAATGATCCATACCACATCATAAGCATCATTTTAGATCCTTTGAAACTATGGAAACACATTCATGTGGCAAACTTTTTATAATAATAATTTAATAACAAATTTAACATTGTAGTAAATGTCATAATTGCTTCCTTACTTTTGTTTAATGTGTACAAATGGGCAATTTGTCCTAAAATATAATCAAAAGAATCATTTTTATAATTGGGTGAGCATGAGTAAAGTCCACAGATGTTAAGAAATCACAAAATAATCATTCCATATCACTTGTATTTTTTCACTGTTTACAATAAATGTTGTAATTTTTGCAACATGTGATAATAACCAATTGAATTATTTTTCTTTATCTCTTCAGCAAAGTTAATTCCTAACAAGATAAGAATTGACATGACAATAAAATGATATTTATACAATCAGTTAATCACTCTACTCAACCTTACTTCAGTAGTCTCACAGTTATCTTCATTTTCATCTTCCTCCAAATCAATAATCATAATATCAGTGTTCTCTTGATTTATTTCATACTGAGCAGTGGACAGTTCCTCTTCTTTAGTATTAAAATTTGAAGATTCCATTCTCTCACTGAGTGATTGAGGCATTTCAATGTCATTATGATTATAAACAAGCGTTGATTAGTGTAAAAATATTCCTATAATTGTTTTCACCACCTTGCAAGTACAACTGGGTTCTTATTAAGACTTATGAAGGTTCTCTCTACCTTCTAATGCTTCTAGAGAAGTCTTTAGACAGTATCTCTATGTTTTTTCACTGTTAGAAAGCTCATAACTTTGTCCCATGTGCAAGCTGCCATCTTGTTTGCCGTGACCACACCCACTTACGTAGCGTGGGCGGGTGGTTGCTAAGGCTTGTTATTTCTCCAATACAACATGTATAGAAGAAATGTAAGTGTTGACATACAAATATATATATATCGCACGTGGGTGAAATCAATTATAGGAACGACCTGGGGGCTTCGCCCCCAGGTCGTAAAAATTTTCTTTCTTTTTTCATTTTTAAGACCGTAAACAGAAGCAGCAATGATTTCATTACAATCACACATACCGTACAAAATTATTTATTGGCGAGAGTAATATTTAGCAAATTTGCCTGTGGAAAGTTAATTGGCAATTTTTATATTGGCGATTTCTTCATTAAACTGCCAATTGCCAATATTAATTCCTCACCAATAAATCATGTATGGTAGTGGATCATTCTTGATGAGGAACAAATTTAGAATGTTCAAAACGACAAAATTAGCAAATAAAACTCATAACATGTTTGATTACTAATAATAATAAACAATAAC